TTGGTTGGTTGGTTGGTTGGTTGGTTGGTTGGTTGGTTGGTTGGTTGATTGGTTGGTTGGTTTAGCTCATCTTGCAGTTTCTGTGCTCATTAATTTAGCTGGAGTGTGCCTTACAGCCCAGCCCAGCTCATAAGCTCTACACAGCCTCAGAGCTGTCCATTTCGCTGAGTCATTAATGCCTGAAGATCAGCCATGAATCTATCATCAACTTAAATCTTTATCTACACCTCTACTATCCACAATGTGTGTTTTTTAGTGTCAGTAACAACATAAAAGAGAATTTTACTTCATTCAGAATACAGAAAAAGGGATATAATTTAATTTCCAAAGTTCATGTTAAAGATACAGTTGACATTTTGTTTTTAGTATTAGCTAACATTTTTGAGAACTTATTTTGATACAGGAATTGTGCTAGAACCTTACATACATAATCTCACTGGGTCCTTAATCTGCACTGTGGGATAGGGTAGATATTACCACTGTTTTCCACAGCATTTTAAGCCTCACCTGAGCATGTCTGAGACACATTCTGGAGTGCTATATAGAAATCAATAGAAAGCCCTAATCTGTCTTGTAAATATCGAGTGCAAATGCCAGTGGTGTAACATTCAAAAGGCAACAGAGAAGGGAAGGCCTTGGTAGCACACAGCACAGAGGCTTCTCACAACACGACACCCTTCTGCCAAAAGTGGGAGCGAATGGTTGTTTAGGGGAGATCTGGCTGCACATTTGTAGAGTAATTGGATGTAGCCAATTACCCACATGGGCAGGGGAATAACAGTTTGAGTTTTACAGAAGAAGGGTCGATTCCATAGACCTCTTTGAGTCATTCTTTTTTTTTTCTTTTTAAAATTAATTTATTTTTAACTAATTACAGAGTTAATAAAATGTAACTAATAATACAAAAAATAAAATTAAATTTAAAAAAGAGACAGAAAAAAAAGAAGTTAAAAAAGCAACAAATCAAGTAATCCAATTTAAAAATGGGGTACAGAGCTAAACAGAATTCTCAGTAGAGGAATAGCAAATGGCCGAGTCATTCTTGAGCACAGTAGCAGTTGTAAACTGTATAAGCTGGCTTGTCTCAGCGTTCAGTCATATAGTGAATCCTGGATCTTTACAGTTAGACGCAGTTGGGTGCCATCTCCAAGCAACTCTTTGAAAGCTTGTTGATCATTTGCCTTTATTCATCACTGCATAGACCCAAATCTTTCCAAGGGAGCTAGGTCAGCTCTGTGAAGGAAAAGGTAGACGCTACACCACCGAGTTCGTCCAGTCATTTGAAAACCCAGAGCCAGGCGCAGTGACGCTCACGCTCACGTGTAATCTCAGTGTTCGAGAGGGGAGGCGGGAGAGGTGACAGAGCAACACAAAAACCAGCAAAGGGGCGTGACAGCCAGGTGATCGATTCGTCTGTTTACCCAACCAGAAATATTTCTTGAGCAACTACTATGTAGTTTGCAATATGCGAACCATAGTCTGTCACATTTGCCTTCTGGGAGGGAGGGGTGGTGACGAGTGCATTGGGGTAAGCACAGGAGTCATTGCTTCTGGCGCTCGAGTATAGAATATTGCACGACTAAGCAACCACTCTAGACCCGACAGTACATTTTAATCGTTACTAGCTTCAAAATTGTGTGACTTTTCTTCTCATATTTTATATGACTCTGCATGGCCAACTTTAGCAAAAAAAAAAAAAGAAAGAAAGAAAGAAAGAAAGAAAGAAAGAAAGAAAGAAAGAAAGAAAGAAAGAAAGAAAGAAAAGATATTTAAATCTAAAGTTTTATAAGACATTTTTTATTTGTGTTATAAAGTCATTTTTTTAAAACTCTCATGAGGGCCAGTGACTTCTTTTGATGAAACCTAATCTGTATCACAAATAATCCGGTTTGAATGTCCTACCATGCATCACCACAATCGTCATCATTGTGTCCATATTTATAATGTGAATGCTTTAGGCTGGAGAAAACTAAAAGTCTACATGAAGGCTTATCTGATGATAACCCCTACTTGGGTTCTACAGGGTTGATGTGAACGCACATGGAGTCTCTCTGTGTTTACTCATCTTTGTCTTCACACTTTGCCTATACTGCGGGCCAGGGCTCTATGACACTTACTCATGAGCTGTCTGAGTTAAAAGAGGATAAGGAATGCAGATTCACTGTGGAGACTGGACTGGCCCCATGCCCCCAGCAGTGGTCCTTCTCAACAAGCAATAGTGCGCTGCTGGGTCCTTCTGAGGTGCTCACTGTTCAAGAGGAAGGCCACGAATCCTACTTTTTAACAAGAGATGTAAAGTATAACATTAAAGAGGAACAGTTCTGTGGGTTTTCAGATGTGTTTGGTTATACTTTGGTTCATGAGAACTGGAAGTTTGTGTTTGGGTTATTCATTAAGGTTAATAAGGCTTCTAGCAGGCTTGAGGAAATCACTGGCAAAACTGACATAGATCTCAGTTCACAGAGTTCAGCAGCACAGTCCTGACTATTGACATTTTCACCCAGACCTATTTCTGTTTGTATCAAAAAGTCATTCAAAAGAAGAACTTGGTGCTGACATCATCAAAAGCTTGGTGAGAGAGGTTTCAAAGTACTGTGTTGATAGCTGTGTTTAAAGTAGCTCTATTTAGAGATATTCAGCCTCTATTAGAAAAAAAGGCAGCATAAGAATTAGAAATGATATAGAATATACATTCCATATAATTTAGTCCTCTGAGGCTTACCTGAAAAATATCTCCAAGGAGTTTTCTATTTTTGGTTTCTACAGAGTACACACACATGTGCGTGTTATTGTAGGTAAAATATTTATTTAAAATGTGAAATTCAGATTTGTTTGTTTGTTAAATCAGAGATTCACTCTGTAACCCAGGCTGGCCTGGAAATCACTATGTCGCCTTACAGCCCCCAAACCTTCCATAGGCCATCTGCCTCATGAAGCCACATTATCATGCCCACCATTATATATTGTCCAAAGGAAATAAGAATTGTCAAATCCAAAATAAATCACCTCCCCCTGATGAGGGGGGAGCAGCCTTACCAGGCCACAGAAGATGACAATGCAGCCACTCCTGATGAGATCTGATAGACTAAGATCAGAAGGAAGGAGAGGAGGACCTCCCCTATCAGTGGACTTGGGGAGGGGCATGCGTGAAGGGGCATGCATGGGTGGGAAGGTGGGATCAGGAGGAGATGAGGGAGGGGCTTATGGGGGATAGAAAGTGAATAAAGTGCAATTAATAAAAATAAAAATAGAAGATCTATGAGGAACACAATGAGGGGTTATATGATTCTTTGTTTTCTTGTGTCTGCTTAAATAAAGATAAGGCCATTTGAAAAAAAAAAAAAAGTATGACTACTGGGGCCAGAGAGATCTCTCAGAGGCCAAGAGCACTGACTGTTTTTCCAGAGAACCCAGATTTGGTTCCCAGCACCTACGAGGCAGCAAAAAACCATCTACAACTCCAGTTCCAGGGGATCTGAAGTCCTCTTCTTGCCTCCAAGGGCATCAGGCATACAGTAGATAAACATATATGCAGGCCAAACATCCAAACACAAAAAATAAAATAAAAATATTTATGAAAGTATGCATACTTACCAATGTAAGTTATATTTATTATTTATACTTAGTTACTAATTTTAATATATATTCATGATTTTTGCATAAAAATCACAAAAAATTTAAAGGGAATATTTCAGGTCAAATCAAAAAGTAGGATTCAGAGCAAATCAATCAAAACTTGATTTTATTCATAAGAATTAAAATTCAAGCCATTAAAGACATTCATTGTTAGTTTTATGCCACAGACCACCAGTGTGAATCAATTAACAGAGATAAGTTTTTATCTTATAGTTGGGCAAAAAGGAAATTAGAAATGGAAGAGCTGTTTCATGCTTCGTTATCCAGCTCTGTGTTTAAAATGCCTGATTGAAACAGGCAGCAGCAGAGCTAGAGAGGAGATTCATGATTTCCAGCAACCAGCAAATGCATGTTAGTTTACCAAACATTTCACAGGAATAGGCTTGTCCTCCCCAAGCTCCTGTTCCCTGGCGTTAGTCAATTAAAGGCTGAGCACTTTCATCATCTTTGTCTCTAGAAGCTGCTGCTCTCAGAGCATGTGTTTCAAATGTTAATAAAGTTTTCATTTCCAAAGGGTTCAAAATGACAGAACAAAATTCTCTCCTCTAAGAGCAGAAAAACAACGTGTGTTTCTGTCTGCAGGTAGTGGAGGACATGCTAGAGGACGAGGAGGAAGAAGATGACAAAGATGACAAGGTAATTATCTTTCCCAGCGCTGGGTACCTGGGGCTGGGAGATGCAGACATGACACTGTTTTCACAGACTGTTAAAAAAAGGAGTTGAAGTGTTTTGAGTCCAGAAAATTGGACAGTGCTGTTTATCATCCTAACAATGCCACTGCGTGCAGCAAAGAGGAAGAGACGGCTATAAATCCTCTCTGCTTTTGTCCAGAGCTGGGTCAAATATTTTTCTGCCAGGAGAAAAAAAAAAAAAAATCAGCTTGTCTGGAACATGATAGCTATTGTGAAGATAACAGCAGTGACAACTGTTTTTGAAGGGCAAAAATTTGTACTATCTTGAATGTTACAAATCAGCCTATGGTTTAAGGAGAAGGAGGCAAGTGTGAAAAAATAGTAGCCTGCATGAGTTGGGCACAGGTAATGTCATCTATAATTTTCGAAGAATTGCTCAGCAAAGGAATATGTGTATGACATGCTTGGGTGGGCATTTAAACAGCCTTGGGCTCACTGCCCTTGCCAAGATCTGTAATGGTCTATGCCTCCACCATCAGGAAAGACCTTTGGAGAGACTTGCATTGCATTTGCGAGTCGGCTGGGAATGGGGACCACTTAAAAAGCAAGGAATTTCTAGTTATCTGGGTTGGTGGCTCCCTGGGGAGAGGGAAGAACTAACAGTCCCACCGTCACCACAGCAGCGGTTGGGGTTAGGAGAACAGCTCTTTCCAGCAAACGGGATAGGAACTCTTGACACTGGGATCACTGGGCGTTTGTAGACTTAAAGCTTGATAGATCTTAAGATGAGACCAGGAGGCAAGGGAGAAAATAGGAACTCCTTCCACATTATTCGGTATGCAAACCAGTTTGATCTCCACCCAAAACTGAGTACTGTTATGGTAAAGCAAGGATGTTTTTGAAGGAAGAAAACAGTATGTCTCAATCTATGCCCTTGACCTTTGAGTCCAGAAAAAACGTACAGTTTTACTCTAGTATAAGAATTTGTTTTGGAAGCAAGCATTGGAAATGTCAAAAGGGAAAAAAGTCACACTGAATGCTTCACCTCACAAATGATCTTTGTTTCCTGACTAATATTCGATGCTTGCACTTCAATGAAACAAATATGCTCTCTCCCTCCTTCTCATGCTCTTCAAATGCCTTTAAACTGATAGAGCTTTTATGTTATATTTTTCTCCTGTACTTCAGTCATTAGCATCATGATCAAAAACAAGCTACCAAAATCTCTTGTCTGCAAACACACACACAGCGCACACACACACACATATACACACACATTTTTAAAGTTAAATCATATGAACACACACCCCTGGCAATAAATGGTCTGATTTATTGTTAAGGTCAGTTGTAGAGCTGTGGAGAGCCTGTACTTTAACTCAATATGCCAGCTCTGAATCATCACTTCTCTGCTGATAAAGACTGAGCTGCCATCCATTTATGGCCATTCCCTCTTGCTTGTTGCTGCTTTGTTATTAAAGCCACTATAAAGACCCATCCCAGCAGCAGGCGTTTCCCTAGAAATGCTAATAAATAGAAACCTCAGTGAAGTCAACTACTTCACGTCTCTCTGCTGAAGTCAACCTATGTATTGTTGGCCAGTGTGTTGGTATTGTTGTCTCTCCCTTTTCTTGTTCATTTTTAATAAAGAAGATCTTAGGGGTAGGCAACAAACAGACATCCCAGGTTAAGCAGCTCAACGAAACACAGATGTCGATTGAACACATCTGGGTGGAAGTACCAACTCTCAAGAGCTGTATATATGTGAACTAGAGGTTGCCTGTCTGAAATTGACACCCTGGTTCTAACACGTTTTCAGATCTAGTTACCAAAGTAGACTGAGCATGAGGGCTTCAATTACTGTGTGAGTTCAGCTGGCTTTTTCTGTAGCTGAGATGGGCAAGAAGAGTGCTTTCACTGTGAGCTGTAGTTCATAACCCAGCCCTTTATTTGACGGATACATAATGGTGAGGTCCTTTCCCATTTCGACCATACGGAAATTGATAACATGAACATAGTGTCTGAACCTAAAAGAAAATCTCAAGTGTAGTAATTTGCAATAGACTTTTAAGCTCTCTTAGACAAGGCATCTTGAAATATAAAGCCTTTGTTATGAGAAAAGTAGAAATAAGAAGGATTCTACAAGCTTCCATGAGCCAGATACCGTCCCCTGGCTTTGACAGAGCATACATTGTCTTAGTGATCCTTGTGTCTGAATGGGAGAAGAGTCATTTCCTATTTTAAACTTTTCGTTGTTTCCTCCATTTAAAGTTTGTGTGTAGAGTCACGCATAATGGAATTTCATGAGAAAGCAAATGTGGTTTTCACTGTGCGAACAGCTACTGACCTCTAACTCTCATTATCTCTGTTTTCTCATGTGGTACAATAGCGGGTCAGGTCAGTGGGTCCTCTTATAGGATAAAAGTAAAGAAGATTAATAAATGTGCCAAAGCCTCACTTTAATTGAACCTGAAGCATATGTTGCAAGTATGTAAAATATGTCCCAGATGTTTCACCAGGGCCAGTGTCTTGCTCTCCCTGATTACCACAAGGCAGCTATTAGTCCTATAACCTTTGGACTTGGGGGTAAATGGGGTATTGCATGGCACGGAGTGTGAGCACCTGTTTCCCATCCAGCAGAGACCCCTGGCAGGCTTTGCCTAAGTCCAGGCACATGTTTTCACTTAGTGGATTGCTGGGTGATTATGAAAAGTGTCTTTCTTTAGAGCAGCGCTGATGTTAGTCACTCACAATGAAAGGGCAAGTCGCTGGCTACTTGACAAAAATCCCGTGGACACACGCCGTAGTCCTTCGTTCCGTTTGAGTGTGTAGAACCCTCAGCACAATTACATATGGAGAAAAGACATAGGTAGAAGAAGTTGAAATCCATGAAGATACATTATGTGAAGTGACGTATAATTACTTCACAGTATAATCACTCACATCACAGCTTTGCGATGGCTTTCGTACCTGGTAAGATATTGGTAAAAGCTCGATTGTAGTGAGTCTGGAGGACCAAGTTTTGAAGCTTTCGCAGATCATGGCCTTTTAAATTTTTGTTGTTGTTGTACTCGCTTTTCGTTAAAAAGTTCATCCTTATTCAGCTGAGAATTATGGTCAAGGACTTACCCTTCGTTCTAAAACCAATTGTACACATTTGCTCAAATCTAAATTTAACTGGCCTCTCTCTTAATGCAATTCCAGGGTTTTCACACATGCAGAAAACATTGCTTTTATATGGTCATCCTTGCATGTGACTCACTGCCTTCTAATATTTTCACTTACCTGCATAGTGTCAGAACATGGCTAAGCTGTGCTAGGGACAGCATTATTTTCTGAATTAGCCATGAGACATCCTAGAGTTCTTTTTTCAGTAGATCATTTTTCAACCCTCAACCGCAAAGCTCCAATCTGATATGTTTTTTAAAGCAACACCAATCTTTTCTCTAATAGACTATAAGCAAAATAAAGTTTAACTAAATTCCCTAGGCAGTGTTATCAACAAGCATATAATAGTGTTCACACCACATCATATGCAATCAAACAGTGGCCAATCTGCATAACCTAGACATCTAATTAACTGGGGTCAATCCTCTTTTGTACTTTAAAAAGTTCCAGCCTGCTTTCCACAGAGCACCCTCACTGCTAATAAGATCCAGCTGCAGCATTGGGAAGCAGAAGTCAGAATGCTGGGTTCCCGCAGGAAAAGCATGAATTCAAATGCATTACATTCTAGTAATGTTTATTGATAAAAGATATGAAAGCGTTCAGGCATTTATGCTTACACAGCTTCTCCTTTCTTCAGCTGTTATGTCAAGGTTACTTGTTTCCAGATAGCTAGATGCAATGAATGAAACGTATTTGAGTTACTTCAAAATATACAGATTGTTGCTTTAATTCTTGAAATCTTTATCTTCTGGTTTGATTCTCCAACCCAAACATGTGTATGCTGTACCCAAGATTCATGCATCTCTGCATCACAAACCAGCAGTGAGGAAGGAAAGAAAGAGATAGTTCTAAGTGATATGAGAAAAGATTTTAATCTGACAAAATTGCATTTCCAGTTACATTCAGTGAAATAACTGCATGGTGGGGAAACCAATCGAGGCTGTAGAGAAAAGCAGAATGAGAGGAGACAAGAAAATTCTTTAAAAAAAAAATCCTAAATCACATTCAACCGGGATACATTTTATTCCTTTATTCATTTCCTTTGTCTGTTTAACAAAGTACCACAAACTTAAAAGCATAAAACAAGTTGCTGTTGTGTTCAGTAGATCAGAAATCCAGGCATAGATAACTGGGTTCTCTGATCACAGTCTGACTCCTAGGGACCAGACAGACTGAGTTATCATCTGCAGGATTTAGGAAACAATCCAGTTCTTAACAGCTGTAGAACTGAAATCCTCCCTTTCTTGTTTCATCTTTCTGTTCCTACTGACCCAGCTGTCTTTAAATGCATCAGTGGAAAATCTCCCTTGGTTTCCCCACCCTCCAGACCTATTTAAGGGCTCAGGTGGTTATAACAGGTCCACCAAAGATAATTTCCTGGTTTTCTGTTTGGTTGGTTGGTTTTGGTTTGGTTTGTCCGGGGGTGGGTGGGGGGGGAGTGTTTGTTTGAGGGGTTTGCGGTTTTGTTTGTTTTGGATTTTTGAGACAGTGTTTCTCTGTGTGGCCTAGTTTGTCCTATACTCACTTTGTAGACCAGACTGGCCTCAAACTCAGCAATCCACCTGCCTCTACCTCCCTTAGTGCTGGGATTACAGGCCTGTGCCACCACAGCCAGCTAATTTCCATGATAAAGAAAACTATATCATGAAATGTGACTTAATCGTGGGAATAACTATTTCATCATCCTCTTAAACCTTCCCCTCTCCCCCTCCCCCAACACACACACACACACACACACACACACACACACACACGCAAGAAGCAGGGATTAAACTTCATATAGAGACGAGAAGGAGACAACTGTGGCTTCAGTCTTAGACTTTCAGCTCCGGCAGCTGC